AGAAGAGAAGAGAAGAGAAGAGAAGAGAAGAGAAGAGAAGAGAAGAGAAGAGAAGAGAAGAGAAGAGAAGAGAAGAGAAGAGGAGAGGATTACTACACTTTTAAGGCAAGGTCTCAACTGTATAGACCTTAGATGACCTAGAACTTCTTAGGTAGACTAGCCTGGCCTTGAACGTACAAGAGATTCTCCACCTGCCTCTGCCTGCCTAGTCCTAGGAGTAAGGGTACGTGCCATCATACCTGATTTCTTTGTACTTTATTGGGGAGCAAAGGGATGACTAACAGATAATAAATGACTTCTAAACTTAAAAGTTAGCCCAAAGGAAAAGTTATCATTTTTTATATTAGAATAACGTTATATTATTTGTTTAAATTTGCCCATGTATTCCATTGGTTACAGATGACTGACAGTTATATTATCCGTTGAATTTCATAACAAAATTGTTCACAAATCAAGAATGTAGCTTCAGTACTTAGAGCTATAATATTTGTATGTCTTTTTCTTCTCCTAGATAGTAATAATGCTTAACACATAAGTGCTTAATACAGTGCCTGGCACATACCAAGTACTCATCAGCAGTTGCTGATGTACCAAGCTTCTACAACAGACTCTTCACCCCCAAGCTTATCAGAAGAAAATACTCTGTTCTAGTTATGAAACTTGTATTAGAAATGTGTAGAATGACTTAGCTTAGGTTTAATTAAAATTGTTTTATTTTATAATTTTAGTAACTTTAATATAACTTAAAAGTATTCACATATTTAAATTTCAGGTAATTTACTGATTTAAAACTATAATATCTTCTAAGGGGAATTCCCTCTAGATGATTATATTTTTATAATAACAAGGTAAGAGAAATATGAGTTAAGATTTTTACTGCAACTAATGCACTACAAACTCTGCTCTCTAAAAGGAACATTACTTTTCATGTTTAAAATCTCTCTAAATCTACAACAGGTTTTAAAAAAAACTCTTAAAAGCTGTAAATTATGTTTAACTCCATTAATCTAAAGATATGTATTTTATAGAACACTCAAATGTAACTTTGAAATTCAAAACCTATGTTACAAAATTACAAGACTCAGAGAAGATCACAAAAATAATATTAAGCTTTCTGTTCTGAGGAAGGTACTCATTGAATTATAATTTTTGCTCAAAATTATATGACCCCAATTTTTTATAAGTAAATTTATTTAAATTTGCTTTCTGTGGCAAAAAGCTAAGGCTGGATGCTTGGCCTTTATAGTCTCAAAGGAAACATAAATAAAAACATTTATTCAAATGTGCAATATATTTAAATCTTTTTAATGAACTTTGTTCCCACTGTAATTTATTTTTCCCACCTCCTGAAACAGTGGTTCTCAACCAGAGGCAATTTGGGCCTCCTGGGGACATTTAACAATGTCTGGAGACATATTTACTATGGGGGAATTGCTACTAGCAACTAATGAGAAAGGGCTAGGGATTCTGGAAAACATCCTATAAAAGACAAGTACTGAACACAAAGACTATCCAGCCCAACACGTCCAAAATGCCATGGCTAAGGATTTTAGTACCCAAAAGGGCTTAGTATAGCAACTCCTCTGTAGAGCCCACTAAAGTGGGGGCTGAGTGCAAACCACAACAGGCATCAACAAACAAACAAACAAACAAAAAACCACCTCCAGGCTGTATGACCCTGGGCTACCCTCAAATCTCAGTTTTATCAATTGTGGAACAGGGACATCAATAGCCTTTTATAAAACTACTACAAAAGGAGGCAAAAATAACAATGCACTTAATGAAACCTAACATATCAGATAACATTATGTATGTATACACATATACATATATTTCTTGAAATGGCCACTGTTATTTCTGCTTACTGAAGCTAATAAACAAACCAAAAATTTTATTTATTTTGTATTTTCAAAATATACAATATAAAAGTATAATTAACATTTTTTATGTGTCTTTATTTACACATCATTTCTTCCTTCTCTCTGGATAGATAAAATTAATATTATCCATAATAGCCGGGCAGTGGTGGCGCACACCTTTAATCCCAGCACTTGGGAGGCAGAGGCAGGTGAATTTCTGAGTTCGAGACCAGCCTGGTCTACAGAGTGAGTTCCAGGATAGCCCAGGCTATAAAGAGAAACCCTGTCTCGAAAAACAAACCAAAAAATCCATAATAATGTACCTTAACTGAATCTTATTTCAACTATCAGAAATTCAAAGCTACACAAAAGGGGTGAAGTTTAGTCAAGATTAAAAGCTGTTTATCTCATATTTAAGAAAAAAATAAAAACAGACAATGAAACATGAAACTGTTAAGGGTTGGTAACAGAGAGATGGCTTGGTAACTAAGAGCATTTGTTGCTTTAAGAGGACCTGGGTTCGATGCCACCGCCACCCCCATCCCTCCCACACATACAGCTTTATCAAATGGAGATATTATCCTCATCTCCAGGAGCTCCAACTCCCTCTCTGATATCCATGAGTACCCGCACACATGTGGCATCACACAGATACACATAAATGAAAATAAAAATAAATCTTAAAAAAAATGAAAACAAACTTGTTGTAGGCTGTCGTGGCGTCTGACTTTAATCACAGCACTCACAGAGCGGAGGCAAGCAGGTATCTTAGTTCTGAAGCTGGTCTGCTCTGCATAGCTAGTTCTAAGCTAGCCAAAGCTCCTTAGTGAGAGTCTGCATGCAGAAGACTCAGGGACAGCTTCCAGCGCCCACAGCCGCTCACAATCATCTGTAACTCCAGTTCCAGGGGATCCTATGTATACTTTTGGTCTCTGAGGGCATTAGACTCTAGCATGGCACACAGGCACATAAGCAATCATACACATAAGTCTTTAAAAAGAATAACATACCTATTTCCAGGTTTTATTTTAAGAATTAAAAAGATTCGTAACACAAATTACAAGTTACACAGAAGCATATTGTCATAAAAATGATGATAAAATAGGTATGGTGAAGGACACCTCTAATCTCAGCACCAAGAAGACACAGACAACTGATTCACAGACAATTTCAGATCTGATGGTGCTGAAGAGTCACTTCTAGGGAAAACTGGTACAACATTTCAAAATTATAAACAAAAGCCAGCTTTGGGACCACTTTCAAATCTATAAAATCAACTCTCATATACATTTGAAACAAATTTTAAATCATTTCATACATAACTTGACATAAAATTCTAAATTTATCACTTATGAAAAAAAGGCTCCAAAAATTCACACTACTTATGTACAATTACTAAGAAAGTAAAAACTAAAAAATGAAGTTTAACAAAAGAGCTTTAAATACAAAGACATCAAAAACAAGTCCAGCCATGTTCACATTAATGAACTAACTGTGAATCCTGGTATGGTGGTGTACATATGATGCAGGTAGAACAGACACAACTGAGAAGGAATGGATGACTAACAAGCTGTTCATCTACACTTAACTAAGTAACACGAGACTGATGTGAAAACTTTCACCAGCAAACAGTTTTCTAGGATTGTAGGATACTTTCCTTTTCACTAGGAAATGAAAAATCTAGGGTCAGCGAGAGGGCTCAGAAAGTAAACGTGGTTGCCACCTGATGACCGGAGGCCCACAGAGTATACATATATGCTAGAGTATGTGCCATCTCCTCCCTAAAACTGCCCAGCTGTGGGAACAGACAGCTGCAACTCCCAGAACTTGGGAGGCTGATCCGGGAGGATGAAGACTCTCTCTGAGGCCAGCCTCAGTTACAGAATGATCCTGGCCCGCTTGGGCTACTTAATAAGCCCTTGTTTTTAAAAATAAATAATAATACGATAAACTCAAAAAAATAAAAATGAACAAATGTCAATGTTAATTAAATGTAACAGCACTTCAGAGCACACTCAAACAACTGTTCACAACTTTCTGGAGTAATGAAAGGAGGGACTGAGGGGAAAACAAGGCCCAGACCCCTACCTGAACCAACTGGAGATGAGCCTACACTGAGACTCTGCAAACTTCCGTTCCTGAGCAGCGTAGGAGATTTCTGAAGACTAGAGCTTGTCACACTTCCTGCAGCCGATGCTACGGATGATGTTGGTGAAGCAGAAGAAACTGAGAGGTGAGAAACATTTTCTTGATTTTTGTTTCCTTTGGGTCGGCCAGGGCCATGCTTGCTTTGTTTATTTCCTTTCCGTTTCTTTTCCTTTACAGCTTCTTCTTCTATACCAGAAGTCTGAGCCCGCTTATATCCTGCTGTAGGGAGGCTGGAACTGCCCAACTCTCCAGGTGAATTGTCAAAGCTTTTAGGCTGTGAAATAACAGTTGAGGTCACAGGGTGACCAACTAAAGAGCTGAAGCTGTTTGCTCCCGCTTCCTGGCTCCCAGACTCTCCTTTATGTCCATCTTTGGTTGATGATGACTGCTGGGTGTGAGTGTAACTGTCATTTCGTAAATCTGAGTCTGTGAAGCTTAAGAAGTCCTGGGGAGACTGCACTGAACTTCCAGAAGATGACTTTACACTGCCTGGAGTTCCAGAAAAACTGCCTGTAGCAAAACACACACACACACACAAACAAACAAACAAACAAACAAACAAAGGTGGAGGAAGAAGATAAGCTGGATAAAATGTTCCTCTAAGCAACAGACAAACTACAATGATCAAAAGGGACTTCTTAAAGTAAACTACAAAACTTAGTTCATGACTGTGCAAGAAATAAGAGAAAGGTTACTTACTATGAAATCAACTTTACCTCTAAAATTATCTTTTAAAACTTTGTCAAAGGTAGTATCATACATTAGCTCTTAAATTGTAGCATACTCCTAAGACTAACATTTATCAGTTTTCTCTGTTTCCCAGCAAACACCGTTAGAGGTACTACATAGGACAGACTGAACAAGCAGACTAGAGTGTTTGACAAAACCACACTATGCTCAGCTTTCCAGGGGACTGTCTTTTTCCAGCATAGAGACACAACTGTAAATGTTCTAAATTATAGCAAAACTGAAAGACATTTCTCAGGTTTTAAGTTCTAACAACAGGACTTACCAATGATTAAATTATTCAGCCAAATCTATCCACCCATCAGAAAAATACAACTTCATGTCCTAATTTACACCTTATATCCTCCTTGTCCAATTTCCATGAAGCTTCATAACGAAAAAAAACCAGCCATGAATCTCATCTTACTGATTTTAAAAATGAAGGATCATGTGGAGAGATGGCTCAATGGTAAGAGCACATGTTCCTCTTGCAGAGGACCCAAGTTCAGCTCCCAGCAATCACATGACACTCAGAACATCTGTAACTCTAATTCTAGGGATTCTGATGTCCTCTGCAGCCCTCTTCAGCCATACATATGGCATACAGCCCAACACTCACACAAAGTAAACAAATCTAAAAGTACAAATGAGTACAAATGAAAAGTCATGGAAGAGGTAGCTTCTCCATGCCTCTTTTCCAACTGCTTACTATATCGCCTCACTCTATTCAAAAACACTTGGCAACCCCTATCACTATTCAGTTTGAGAACCTCAGAGTCCTTGTCTGCTGGTGGAAAACTGCCCTGGGAAGGGATAGCTTGATCCATCATTCTCATTTCAAAAACTCTCCTCATGTTTGTCAGATGATATCAGCCACTAAGCAGATTCGGCTCTAACATCTTTCTCATAAACAGTGAGGCTAAGTGACCGAGTGCTGACATAGCACATGGGAGACACTGGGCTCAATCCCCAGGAACACCAACACACAAACACAGAATAGTATGAAAAAAACAAAATAATTAAAAGTACTTGGAATATTTAAATTTTCTAAAATTCACAAGGTACAGTTAACTCAAACCATGACAATCTGAAACACCCTATCGTCATATTTTGATTTTTTTTATTATCTCAGCTATATAACTATAACAGTTTCTACTGTGTCTTAAGAGGTTAAAAAAGATTCTTAAATATTCCAAAAGTATGGGAGCTAACTTTTAAAAATGAATTAGCACTTTATAAAAATGAAACCTTAAGAATATAAAGCAGGCCTAGCAACCCTCACTATAATCCCTGCATTTGGAAGGCTGAGGAAAGAAGATCAGAACCATAGATATGGTATTAAAGGCCACCCTGGGCTACATCTCAAAGTAAACTGTTTTAATAGTCTTATTGTTTGAATTCTGTTAATATATCATTCATTCAAGATGTGAATGAAATTACATGCAAGGATAATTAAGGTATGACTAATTTTCAAAGTGATACAAAAATAACTAAATTTTACTTAAATATAATAGTGACTTTGGCACTTTATCTATGTTTACTTAACTTTTTGTTCTAAGACTGCATGCATTCACATATACCAGAGTCATAACTCGGTGGCTCCTAAATACTACTAGTATGAAATATATAATAAATTTTAATGAAAGATGAACAGATTAGCAATCTACTATTTACATATTATTGCAAGACTCTGGACTTAAGCTTAACAAATGTTTCATCAAAGGTAAATGGCAGTCTTTTTTATTCACTTCTAGGGGAACAATGGACACAGGTAAAAGAGCTATTCATTTTACTTTTCCCCCCAAAATTTCAGATTTTCAAGTATATGTTCATATTTAAAATTACATAAAACAATCACATAAGTGTATACATTCTGAAATTTACCAATACTCCTATTTTCCATAAAACAACACAAGCCCAGTTAATATTGAATTTCAGTCTGACATCAGACAGTATTTAGGAAACATACTAAGATACTATACACTGTTTATGTGAAATTCAAATATATAGGCAGCCTGTTGATATTGCAGCCTGCACCTAGAACACAGCAGCTGAATAAAAATCTTTTAACCTCAAGCTTTGTAATAAATGTATTACTTATGACGTATCACTATTTAAGATCTTAGATTTCATAAAAGTTGCTCAGTTCTTATTTACCTATTAAAATGTACAGTTTTATTAGGAAAAGTAAATAAAAACAATGTATAGAAAGAAAATTCCTATTCTTGAAAGAAAATTACATGTTTTCTCCACAATCTGAATGTCTATTCTACAACCATTTAACATTAAAATTATAGTTTAAAAACAAATCATTAAATATAAAGAGAACAAAACTTCCAGAAACATTTTAAAACATAACACTATTTTTGGAAATATTATCAACTAACTTAGTCTAGAACAGCCATTGGTTATTAGTAAAAAAAAAAATTATTTTACACAGCATTAATTAAAATACCATAATACCTTGTGGAAAGGGGCTAGATGCTGATACAGTTGTTCCTGGATTTCTTCCACCACCAGGCTTCCTTCCCCTTTGACCTGAGCTGTGAGCTGAAGATTTCTTCCCTTTACCCTCTGACCCTCTAGCCTCTGAAACATCTTTTCCACTAGAGGTATGGGTAGAGACTTCCTGGAAATTTGCATTTGTAAATCTTGCTGCAGTGTCTTCCAAGCGCTTCAATGATCCAGATATAGAGTTGTTGCTAGTGCTTGTATAAGTCTACATTTTGATTTAAACAAAACGAACAAAAACAGAAAGTAAAAAAAAAAAACTAATTATATTTGGCTGAAGAAAACAGTATGAATAAGCACCTAACTTACAAACATGAATATTTCCATTATAAAGAAGTCAGGCAGTCTAAAAAAAAGAAAGTCATGCAAAAAAACATGAAGTGAACTTTAACCCTTTGGAGGATTGTCTTGCCATCTCATCAATCCCAGGGCCTTCCGTGTGCTGCCTTCTTACGTACAGCACCTTATCACATTCTTTTTTAAACAATAATTGATAAGATCACTCAAGATCAGACTGCACCATATAACAATTGGCCTTAGTAATATACTTTAAATAATACACAGGCACCAAAGATATTCATTTCTCAAACATTATTTCCACCAAGAATATGCTTTTTTTAAAAGAAATTTGAACAAGCTAATGGATTTGAGTCTAAAAATATGAAACACTTCCCAAGTCTACATGCCATCCTTGCACAGGAGACATGCTAGTCTTCTCTGTATCTTTCCAATTTTAGTATATGTGCTGCCAAAGCAAGCACAAAAACATACTACTTCATAGCCATGATATTACAAGCTATAGTGTTCAAAACAGAAGTCAATAAATAACGAGAAGGAAAGAGCATCAGTTCAGAGAGGACCATGCTCACAAGACTACAGGCTCCCTCCCTCCTGGGTTGTAGGAGGAATGTTACAGGAAGTGCAGAGGAAAGAAAACTTCAAAACAGCCAGATTCAGCCTCTGAAACCCAAGTCTCTCTATGAAATTGAAGGAACCTTATGTGACTGATATACATCTGACTAGAAAAATAAGATAAAGATTGCTCAAACAACTACTTTCTGGCTTTAGTGGCCATCTTAAATACAAGTATGCCCAGACACTGACAAATGAAGTGAGTGTGGATTCATTTTAAACCAGACAATGCTAGTTAACATGATTCATAGCATCCCTTGGGAGCAAGAATTTTATTTCAAAATTACACTCGCAAGTATCTGAGGAGTCTAAATTCACTGACAAGCTTGAACTACTAATAAAATTTTAAATAAATCTCTGCAACGCATCTAATATCAAATTTAATGTGAAAATAAAAAATTTTGAAGATACAAATATTAACTTCTCACATGTAACACTTTGTATGACAATAAATTTGAAACTGAAAAGTAATAAAATCAATTTTCAAAATGCTTATAGTGATTTTTGTAAATTCAATGTTCAAAGGAAGGAGTAGGAGAAATATTTTAAAAATCTAATAATGTTGGGGCTGGAGAGATGGCTCAGGAGTTAAGAGCACTGACTTCTCTTCCAGGTACAGAGTTCCATTCCAAGCAACCACATGGTGGCTCACAACCATCTGTAATGAGACACAATGCACTCTACTGGTGTGCATGAAGACAGCAACAGTGTACTAACATACATAAAAATCTAACTTTCACTGTCCCAATTCTGCTACCATCTTATCATCTCTCTGTCAATAACACATCTCAACAATAAGTCCAGCATCATTTCATAAAAACAAAACAGTCAATGCTCTAATCAACTATAATCCACAAACAAGATCAAAAAAGAAAGGCTTCAAAGTCTGGCAGGAAAAAAATAAATAACTTTTAACAAACCACTGACATTAACCTACTGAGACTTCATGGCTTACTTTAGAAACATGAACCTTTTCCAGGCTGGGCAGTCAATCTGAAAACTACCTCGCCTTCTTTTCAGATACGTTTTCCCCAAAACTGAGGCTCAGCACTCCTCATCTGATCCTTGTATGACCTAGTGAAGCTTAAAAGTCATCTAAAAACCACAACGGTGTTATTGATTCCTTTGCTTTGCTCAAGCATCAAGTAAAAGATGAAGAGAAAACTGAAATACTGTAAAGGGAAATGCAGTAGTCACGTCCACAAGTCAATCTTCCCATTTATTAGATACAATGTCCTGGTTTTTACTCTAAACACAAGGGTGGGATTAGAGAGCAATAAGAAAATAAACAATTATTTGGTAACAAAAAAAGAAAACAGAAAAATTACACTAATAAGGTTGAAGTGGCAATTTCTGGTTTCTCGGGAATCTCAGTTATGTCATACGATGTTTTGCTGGGACAGAAAGGTGAAAGGATGTTTTGCTGAAGCAGATACACAGAGGAGGTGTGATGTTTAGAAAGCATGTGTGTGTGTCTGTGTGTGTGTATATATATATATACACACACACAGACACACACACACAGACACACACACATATATACATATATATATATGCCCACAAGAGAGGGGGAGGCTCTGGCATGGTTCACGTTGCTCTGCTTTGCCAGTTTACTGATGGTTGCTCTGGCATTAGTTCACCTTGCACTGCACTGCTGATCTTTGCTTGCCATGACTTCATAGAGAGTACCTCTCCAAAGAACTTTTGTGGATATTCTGGGAGAGTCCAGCTGTTTCCATGGATTTTGGTCAATTGGTGGAGCCTTGTGGTCTGTTCTAGATGGAACTGCCTTTGCTGATTTGTGAGTGGTAACTACCAAGTGGTCTGGACTATAGCTGCTGATTCGTATTAAGTGTTTTACTAGAGGACTAGACTGCTGATACAAAGATTGGAATGGCCCCAAAGAACTATTTCTAAATAGGTCCACTTCTCCCTTTGCCCTATTAACCTTTCTTTTCCACTACCTCTGGTGGGTGGTGGGCTACAAGGGAAGTTGAGGCCTTTAAAATCCTTATTAAACTAGGTTTTGAAAAATCTAAGCCTACATAAGGTAACTGAGTATTTTACTTTATTTTTTCTATACCTTCTAAGTTTTCCAAAAGTATCTGACTTACAAAGAAAATTTAGCTGATGATCCTACTTTTAAAATATTATATAAAATGAACTGCCCTTACCCTCAAAGACTACACAGATTTCATTCAAAGGGACCTTGACTTAAACTCCATATTTTAAAGGTATCTCAAAAAGTGCTTGATCAGTAAGTAATGTGCTCCTGAGGCAGTGTGCTACTGCAGAATTCTCATGTGAACATTTGAAGTCAAAGAGGAAAAGTTGAAAGAGGAAGAAAAGTGAGCAGAACTAAGTTGGGCCTGAGAATTCCTCTCACCGTAGTAAAAATCTCCCTCTGGGGATGACCTCACAGTATAAAAATATCTGGTTTTCATGCAATTTCAAACACAAAATGAAAGGTACTTGCTAGAGTTTCGATTTAGTGTGTCTCCCAAGGGCCCATATGCTAAAGGCTGGTGGAGGCCTGTGCTGGAGTTGCTCAAGGTAGTGGAACCTATAGGACATAGGTAGGGCCCAGGGGAAGGAAGTCAGACAGCAGGGACACTCAGCCCACAGCCCCTACTTACCTTAGGATGATCAGACAGCCTCTACCATATGCAGGCAAAAAGGAGACCAAGTAACTACAGACGGAAGCCTCTGAAACTATGATGTACAAACTTCTCTTCCTTATAATAGTCCCCTTGGGTATGCCATCAACGTGACAGAAAGCTGGCCAACATGTACCTGACTGAAGGCAATACGGTCTTTTTTTGTTTTGTCTGTACATATGAAGGTAGTACAGCAAGTGCATGTTTGCTGCCTGCCTGCTAAGTTCAAAGTGGGTCAGATACCCCTGGAACTCTAGTTATGTGTAGTTGCGAGTCATCATGTGGGTGTTGAGGATTGGACCTAATTCCTCTACAAAAGCAACAGTGCTCTTACCCATTGAACCATGGCTCCAAAACAACCCATCCCCATGTCCTTTTTACATATACTAATGTATTCTTTTAAAACTTCACGTGTTTTTAGTCTACGCATATGTATATGAGTGTTTTGTCTATGCACCATGGGTGTTCGGTTCCTGCAGAGGATAGAAGAGGGTGTCAGATCCTTTGGAACAGGAACTGAGAACGGCTGTTAACCACCACGTGGACACTAGCAACCAAATCTGGGTCCTCTGCAAGAGCAACCTATGCCCTTAACTACTGAGCCATCTCCCCATCCACATGATGTAGTCTTTGTATCCTTTCCACTAGAAATAAAACTATTTGACCACAATGAGAATCCCTTAATGCATGCAAACACTGACCAATTGTGATTTACACGGAATTTAATAATATGTTTTGTGTGGAGCAGTGGTGGTACATGCCTTTAATCCCAGGACTCTAGAGGCAGAGGTAGGTGGATCTCTAGGAGTTCAAGACCAGCCTTCATTCTAGGACAGTCAGGGTTTTAAAGAAACCCTGGCTCAGGAAGAGAGAGAAAAGGGGAGGGGGGAGGGGGGAAGGGAGAGAAGGGATGGAAGGGAGGGAGAGTGGAAGGGGGAAAGAAGGAGCAGGAGAAAGAGAGGGGGTGGGGGTGGAGAGAGAGAGAACTTTTGTGTTTTGCAGCCAGCTATAATCATTGGGCTGCTGCTAAAATGTACCACTAATATACCTAACTAAGTTGTTGTAACTAGGTGGAAAAACTATTCTCTACTTTAAACAAAAGTCTTAAACTTATGATGAAGGAGTGACTCTCCCATAGACTCAAAACATTGCAGTTATGATTGTAAAACTCATGCTAGTGCTGTACTGTTGCACAAGGCAGGCTCTGCCATCTATCTACACTGGCAAGGAGACAAAAGAAATGCAACTGTCAAGGGCTAGGATCCTGAGTAGGTGTAAAATATTGGTAAAAAACTTAAAGTAAAATTATATAATGGTCAAGTGTCTCAGCAGAGTCACAGACAACCAGGAAAGCCAGGTATAGAAACTATCTTGAGTCAGAAACAAGAGTGGAGAAAGACTGGGTCTACACACTGAGTTACAAGACAGCAATGCAATGCAATGCAAAACACACCCACCCACCCCCCACACACACACCCCTCTCACTCAAAGTGTAAAAAATAATATAAAAGCCCCAGATAGAAATGGATGCATACACGTTATATTACTATTTCTGGCAAAATGCCATTATTGTGGGTTTTTTTGTTTTTGTTTTTCTAATCAATATGACAACTTTCACCAGCCTGTCTGTTTCTGGCCTATAGGTCGTTCTGCCTACTTCTGTGCAGTCTGGTTGCTGGTCTGTGTTTATCTTTATATCTACCTATGCTCAGCCCAGAGTTGCCTACAAGAGTCAGACTTCCTGAACTTATGTTTTATCTGCCTATAGTTCCTTTATTACCCCCAAGCCTCCCAGATTCTCTTGTTTTCCAGGCTTTCGAGCTTAAACTTCACATCTGTACAAGTATGAAGTTCTGAGTGGCACAGACTATATGATACTAGCACTGGGAACTCAGCGACAGAAGGTTCCCTGAGCTCACTACCAGGAAGATTTGCTGCATCAGTGAGCTCCAGGTTCTGTGAGAGATCCTGGATGAAATCAAGAGCAGAGTAATAAGGGAAGACATCTGATGTCTACCCTAGCCTTCACATTCACACGTGTATGCATCCATGCACATTAAACAACCCTCCCACAACAAACACACAATAGATATTCATCTGTCCTTCAACAATAATGGGCTGAACACATAGTTAAAAAAAACAAGTAAGATTAAGATCATATACAAAATAATACAAAAGTATCAGTAAATTAG